CTGTTCCCCCATCTGTCTTCCTTTCCTTGGGTTTCCCTATGTACTGAGACACAATAGTACTGAAATTAGGCCAATTAATAACCCAACAATGGCCTTTAAGTGTTCAAGTAAAAGAAAGAGTCTCACATCTTGTATTTTAAATAAAAAGCTAGAAATGATTAAATTTAGGGAAGAAGACATGTTGAAAGCTGAGATAGGTTAATAGCTAGGCCTCTTCTGCCAGTTGGCCAAGTTGTGAATGCAAAGGATAAGTTCTTGAAGGAAAATAGAAGTGCTGCTACAGTGAACACATCAATGACATGAAAGCAGCACAGCTTTATTGCTGATATGAAGAAAGTTTTAGTAGTCTGGATAGAAGATCAAACCAGCCACAACATTTCCTTAAGCCAAAGGCTAAGCCAAAGAAAGGCTGTAACTCTTCCTGTATTCTGTGAAGGGTGAGAGAGCTGATGAGCTACAGAAGAAAAGTTGGAATCTAGCAGAGGTTGGTTCATGAGGTTGAAGGAAAGAAGCTCCCTCCATAACGTAAAAGTTCAAGGTAAAGCAGCAAGTGCTGATGTAGAAGCTGCAGCAAGTTATCCAGGAGACTGGTATCTAGCTAAGATCAAGGATGAAGGTAGGCTGGCCGCGGCGGTGGCTCATGCCTGTAATTCCAGCACTTTAGGAGACCGAGGTGGGAGGATTGCTGGAACCCAGGAGTTCGAAACCAGCCTGGGCAATATAGTGAGACTGTCTCTACAAAATTTTAGAAAAAGGATGAAAGTGGCTACACTAAACAGATTTTCAGTATTGATGAAACAGCATTCTGTTGGAAGAAGAGGCCATCTAGGACTTTCATAGCTAGAGAGAAGCCCACACCTGGCTTCAAGGAGCAGGCTGATGCTCTTGTTAGGGGCGAATGCAACTGATGACCTTAAGTTGAAGCCAATGCTTATTTACCATTCAGAAAATCCAACGGCCGTTAGGAATTATACTCAGTTTACTCTGTTTGTGCTCTATAAATGCAACAACAAAGCCTGGATGACAGCACATCTGTTTATAGCCTGGTTTACTGAATACCTTAAGCCCGCTGTTGATACCTACTGGGCTCAGAAAAAAATATTCCTTTCAAAATATTCCCGCCCGTTGACAATGCACCTTCTCACCCAAGAGCTCTGATGGAGATGTACAAGGAGATTAATGTTGTTTTCATTCCTGCTAACACAGCATCCATTCTGCAGTCCATGGATCAAGGAGTAATTTTGACTTTCACATCTTATTATTTAAGAAATACATTTTGTAAGGCTATAGCTGCCATAGATAATGTTTCCTTTGAAGGAGCTGGAAAAAGTAAATTGGAAACCTCGTGGAGAGGATTTGCCATTCTAGATGCCTTTGAGAACATTCATGATTCTTGGGGGGAAGTCAAAGTATCAACATTAACAGGAGTTTGGAAGAAGTTGATTCCAACCCTCATGGGTGACGTTAAGACTTTAGTGGAGGAAGTCACTGCAGATGTGGTGGAAATAGCAAGAAAACTAAAATTAGAAGTGGAACCTGAAGATGTGACTGAATTGCTGAAATCTCATGATAAAACTTGAATGGAGCCCAGCATGGTGGCTCACGCTTGTAATCCCAGCACTTTGGGAGGCTGCAGCTGGCGGATCACTTGAGGCCAGGAGTTCAAGACCAACCTGGCCAACACAGTGAAACCCATCTCTGATAAAAATACAAAAACTAGCCAGGAGCAGTGGCACACACATGTAATTCCAGCTACTTGGGAGGCTGAGGCATGAGAATCACTTGAACCCAGGAGGCAGATGTTGTAGTGAGCCTACATCACGCCAGGGCACTCCAGCCTGGGTGACAGAGCAAGACGCTGTCTCCAAAACAAACAAACAAACAAACAAAAACCCCAACAACTAAAATGGATGAGGAGAGAAAGAAGTTTCTTGATATGGAGTCTACTCCTGGTGATGATGCTATGGACGTTGTTGAAACGACAATACAAGATTTAGAATATTACATAAACTGAATTGATAAAGCAGCATCAGGGTTTGAGAATATTGTTTCCAATATCGAAAGACATTTTACTGTGGGTAAAATACTATCAAACAGCATCACATGCTACAGAGAAATTTTAGTGAAAGGAAAAGCCAATTGATGCAGTAAACCTCACTGTGGTCTTATTTTAACACGTTAACCACAGCCACTCCAGCCTTCAGCAGCCATCAGGCTGATCAGTCAGCAACCATCAAGATCAAGGCAAGAATATCCACCAGCAAAAAGATGATGACTTGCTGAAGCCTTAGCATTTTTTAGCAATAAAGTTGTTTTTTTTTTTTTTTTTTTTTTTTTTTTGAGACAGGGTCTAGCTCTGTCACCCAGGCTGGAGTACAGTGGCATGATCTCAGCTCACTGCAGCCTTGACCTTACAGGCTCAAGTGATCCTCCCACCTCAGCCTCTTAAGTAGCTGGGACTACAGGCATATGCTGCCATATCCAGGTAATTTTGTTTATTTTTTGTAGAGATGGTGTCTCACTCTGTTGCCCAGGCTTGTCTCAAACTCCTAATCTCAAGCAATCCTCCCTCCTCAGCCTTCCTAAGTGTTAGGATTACAGGCATGAGCCACTGCACCTGGCCAATAAAGTATTTTTAAATTAAGATATATATATATAGGTTTCTGCAGACATAATGCTATTAAACACTTAAGAGATTACAGTATAATATAAACATAACTTTTATATGCACTGGGAAACCAAAAAATTTATGTGACTTGCTTTATTGTGATATTTCCCAGTGATACTTGCTTATTGCTGTGGTCTGGAATCAAACCCACAATATCTCTGAGGTATGCCTGTAGCTTAAAGTAGTGTTAATGAAACCGAAATCACTTAGGGCTAAAATAAACTTAGGAGATTTTCTTGGCTTTATGGTATCTACAATACCAGGGACTTCTAATGCTGGAGTCGCTACCTGATTCAAAGAAAGAACATTTCCCAGGCTGGGCGTGGTGAGTCACACCTCTAATCCCAGCACTTTGGGAGGCTGAGGCAGGCAGATCACTTGAGGTCAGAAGTTCGAGACCAGCCTGGCCAATATGGTGAAACTCTGTTTACTAAAAATACAAAAATTAACCAGGTGTGGTAGCAGTTTCCTGTAATCCCAGCTACTCTGGAGGCTGAGGCAGGAGAATTCTTTGAACTTGGGAGGCTGAGGTTGCAGTGAGCCAAGATCATGCCACTGCACTGCAGCCTGGGCAACAGCATGCAACTCCATCTCAAAAAACAAACAAACAAACAAACAAACAAACAAAAAACCAGGCTGGGCATGGTGGCTTATGCCTGTAATCCCAGCACTTTGGGAAGCTGAGGCAGGTGGATCAGGAGGTCAGGAGTTCAAGACTAGCCTGGCCAGCATGGTGAAACCCTGTCTCTACTAAAAAAAAAAAAAAAAATTAGCTGGGCATGGTGGCACGTGCTTGTAATCCAAGCTACTTGCGGGGTCTGAGGCAAGAGAATTGCTTGAACCCAGGAAGCGGAGTTTGCGGTGAGCCAAGATTGTGCCACTACACTCCAGCCTGGGCGACAGAGCGAGACTCCATCTCAAAAAACAAACAAACAAACAAAAAACCCACCAAAACCAAAACATTTCCCAAGACTTTTTACACCCCAGTTGTACCAAATGTTTTTTCGGTGTCTTCCACATTTCACTTCTTCCATTAACATGGCAGCCTGCATTAGAGTTAAACAAATAATAAACTCTGAAATTGCAGTTGGGACGGTCTCCTATGCTTATTGTGGCCAGAAGTCTCATCTCAGCCCTTATTTTGATGATCCATGATATGTAACAAATAAAGAAGGCCTGCACTCCTGCCATCCCAGGCCAGCACCAGAATTCCCTTAGCACCTATATTCCGTATATCAGACAAAATGTATGCCATCTCTGTGCTTGCTTACAGGGGACTATAATTAGCTCCTAGAAAACAAGCAGAGGTCCTGTGAAGGAGTAATCTAGAAAAGCCCAGCAGTTCTATATTTTGCCTTGAGAAGATAAAATCATATCCAGAGAATCCAGATATGAAGAATGGCAGAGGAAGATGAAAAATGTTCTGTCATTCGGAGTAATCTCCAATTTTGTTTAAATATTAGGCTTCCTTATAGAGCATCTGGCTCAGAGCTGTCCAATAGAACTTTCTGTGGTGATGGAAATGTTCTTTATCTGTGCTGTCCAATATGGAGACCACTAGCCATGTGTGGTTATTAAGTACATGAAATGTGACAAGTGCAACTAAAAAACTTCATTTTTCATTTTTTTTCTTTTCTTTTTTTAGTTTTTATAGAGATAGGGGGCTAACTATGTTGCCCAGGCTGTTCTCGAACTCCTGGCTTCACACTATCCTCCTGCGTCAGCCTCCCAAAGTACTGGAATTACAGGCATGAGCCACTTCCCTGGCCCATTTTATTTAATTTTAATCGATTAAAACTTTAGTTCTAGAGATAAATCCTAACGAAAATTTTAATTGATTAGAATTAATTTTTAATAGCACATACAGCTAGGGGCTGCTATATTAGACGGTGTGGTTACTGGCCCTTGCCCTCCTAACTTTTTATACCTTCTGACAATATTTACAAGTTGGGACTATTATAACATTGTTCAAAAATTGAAGGCACTAATTTCATTAATCCTACATATACATTTCCACTGTGAAATTAGCTTTGCAATGGGTTAGAAATTCAAGTCTCGTTGTATCAAGGCAAGCTTTTATTGTGAGATTAACTTCAATGGAACATTCATTATGTTTAAGCTTTGATGTTTAAAATTTGGGTAAATCCTGTGCTTTAGTGGTGATGCTTGTGCAACAGTGTGCAACTTCATGCCTGGTCTGGACACTTAGAAATGACTAAAATGATGAGTTCTATGTTAAATATGTTTTACCACAGCAAAAAAACTATATGCTTTGGTTTTTAAGATTTGGCTTGATTGTGATTTTCTTTGGTTAAAATTTCCTCTGCTACAGGCCTTGCTGAGGATCTGGTGCGGCATGTTCCTGGCTGTAGCATGTTTCTCTTTGGCGAAGCTGACCTGCCTGAGAAGCGTAGTCTTGTCCAGAGAAGGAAGCAGCTGGGTTGGTTCACGAGGAGAGATTTCAGTGCTCTTCAGCTTGACCTGGGAGCTGCCCCTGCCCGAAGATGTGGTTTAACAGGTTCTGAGCATGGTTTTTGCTTTGCTCTGTATTTTTTTTTTTTTAAACTTGAGGTCCCCTTTCTGAGTCACACCCTCTTAATGCAGGAAGAGTTATAGGAGTGGCTACTTCTTAAATGGATGAGGCTCTCCTTTCTGCTGTTACTCTCACCCGGGCCCTGTTAAGCTAACCTGTGAGCCTAGAAGCACCCGTCAGGTATTTGATGAGGGCCCCCAGAAGTGATATTCAAGATATATCATTAGCCCTGCAATGTGATCACTGATGAAAAGAATGCTCATAGCTCCTGGCACTGGGGCAGGGTCCTGGAGGCCCCTATCTGTGAATGGTGTGGGGTGTGCCCTGGGGTGTGATGGAGACACCTGGGGAGGGAGGACTTAGGGAGAGATCACTTCTAGCTGGTAGAAAGGTCTTTCAGTACTTAAATATCAGTGTAGCCAAGTTGGTGCTTACAGCTGGAAATCAGTTTTAGAGGAACCCTGGAAAAAATCTTTTCTAGATAACGGACTTCTAGAATACAGAGACCAAAGACTGGGAAAAGAAACTATTCCTTCCCCTGGATCTCATCAACTTTTACCTCTCTCTGCCACTCCTGCCCTCTCTCCCCGCCCCACCCCTAAGGGATGTATCAGGAAAAGGTAGAACTCCTCTTTGTTGCCTGCATTTCCAGCTTCCTAGTGTCACTTATTTGAGTCTCAATTGTTTCATTCTCAAATGTCTGTTGGGGGCCACAAATTAAACCATGTAAGGTCACATTTTGATGGTCAATGAATAACTTAAGCAGTTACCAAAATACCAGATATCCAAGGAGTGAGAGGTGGGTGAGCATAAGAAACACATTTCTCATGGCACAGCTCTGCCAAAGCCCTGCAGAATCATTTACACATAGGTCTTTGGTTACTAGCCCCTGGCACAGAATTCGATCTTAAACAAATAATATCTACAATCAAGTAGAGCAATGCAATTAAAAAAAAAAAAGCACAGGTTTTGAGGCTATGCTGAAATCCCGGCCTTGCTATTTGCTGGCTGCGTGACCGTGGTTCCTTGGTGTCGTTATGCTTTGGTTCCCATATCTATGAAATGGACGTAATAATGTCTCCCTCTCATTACTGTGAAGTCGAAATGATGTCTGTAAAGTGCCTGACACAGTACTAAAGGGCCATTCTTTTCTTCCCTATGAAGAGGAGATTTAATAAAAGTGATATTATAAATGTATTTCATTCAACATTTTGTTATAGAAAAAAGGAAGAGACTGATTGCTCTCTGCCAATTTGAACCTCACATATTTTCCCATGATTTGTCTCACAAATGGAGAAGTGTAAAGTTTTATGACTAAATTTTCAGAAATCTATTTCCTGGTTTCTAATTTGAGCCTCCCTAAAGACTGAAGAGATTATACCACAGATGCAGTCGCTTCAGTGCCAGGTGGACTGGTATTGCAGTCAGGTGGACAGGAATTAGATATAGGTATACTGCTATCAGAGCATTAGGTTAAGCAAACACTTGAATAACTTAATTCTCATTTTTGCAATGCTGTTAGAATAAATGGGTTGATATATGGGAAAAACTTTAACCTGATATAAAAGGCATAAGACCGAATGCCAATATTATCGCTAATTATGTTTAGTTTCCTAAGAACAAACTCGATATGTAGTTGTTTAAACTAAAGGGAGGATTGCCTCCCAGTCTGATCTATCACCTGCCTATGGTTGGATAATCTGTGCCTCTGCCTCATCATGATCTATTTTATATTGTTTGATTTGAAATGGTCAACACATTGGGATTTCTGATTTTTTCTTTTTCTTTCTTTCTTTCTTTTTTTTTTTTTTTTTTTTTTTTTTGAGACAGGGTCTCATGGCATTTGCCTAGGCTGGAGTGCAGTGGTGCAATCTCGGCTCACTACAGCCACAACCTCCTGGGCTCAGGCAATTCCCCCACCTCATCCTTCCAAGTATATTTTGTAGAGACAGAGATTCACCATATTGCCCAGGCTGGTCTCAAAACTCCTGGACTCAGGCAATCTACCTGCCTTGGCCTCCCAAAGTCCTGGGATTATAGGCACGAGCCACTGTGCCTGGGCCATGATTTTATTCTGTTTTTACTCACATGGAGATCTGTAATTTACATAAAAATTTTCATAAAAATCTACAAATCCCAAGTTAAAACATTAAGATGCCAAAATTGGCACAACGAATGTTTAAAGATGATATTTTAAAGGTAATATTTAATACTGGGGAAGATGTAGTTAGAGACATTTACAGTGTTAATGATAGTATAAATTGGTATAAACTTTTTAGAAGTGAGCTTGTGATACGTATGAAGAGCTCTAAAAATGTATATAACTGCCTTTCAGGAATTCTAGATCTAGAGATAAATCCTAAGGAAATAGTAAAAGGGACATGTACAAGGATGTTTATCAAAGCATTATTTATAATAGCAAATACTGAAAATAATGGAAATGTTTGCTATTTGGGAATGTTTATATAAACTGTGGCATACTCAAGCATGATGTTTTAGAAGAACCTTCAGAGACATAGAAAATGCAGTCTAATGTAGAGAGAATTTGCAGTTAAATTAGTTTAAAACAGATATTAAGTACCTACTGTGTGCTAAGCAGTATCACCAGTGGGCAAAATAGAACTTATGTTTCCTCAAAGAACTTACATTGTAGTTGGGGAGGGGCAAAGAGACAGACCGTAAATAAAAACCTTAATAAACAAATGAATTATGTAGTATGTTAGAAAATAACAGGTGCTACAGCCAAAATAAATATTGAACAGGACAAGGGCATTAAGAGTTCTAGAATGGGGTCGTATTGTGATTATAGGTGGAATAATCCAAATTAGGCCTCTTTGTAAAGGCAATATTAGAGCAAAGACTTGAAGGAGTGAGACCACTAGCCATGTGGAGATGTGGAGGAGAGTTTTAGGCAGAGGGAATAGCCAGTGCAAGGGACACCAGGTAGTATAGGCAGCGTGATCTCAATATTGTAAAATATATATGTACATATTTTGTTTGTATTATATATAAGAAAAACATTTTTAAATTCTTAAAGCTTCCAACATATTTTCATAATATCTCTAAATCAATCCTGTGATTATTTCCATCATCTTCCCTGCAGAGTAATTAGTAAGATTTATTAGTGGTAAATTTTATAAACGCTAAGTTTCAGTGCCTGTATTTAGATTATATTTGATGGCATGTTCATGATAAGAAGGGAAAAGGAGCACAGCTCTTCCCCTATATGCCTTTTTTCACTGGTACCCATGACCAAGGGTAGAAACTTTAGCTTGTGGAAGAAACAAGAAAATTACAATTTGCCAAGTTTGGGCAGTCTGTTTGTCCATCATTTAGTAGGCTCAATGCAGATGCTAATAGCAGAAAAGTAAAGTATTTCAAGGAGGATCAGTGAATAAGGGATGTGAATAAACAATTAGTTTCTAATATTCCTCACACTAGATAGTAGAGTTTAAGACTTTCTACTAAAATATTAGGTTACCTTAATTGCACATATTCTTCCTTAAACAATAATCCAGAAAGAAGTAAATTGCTTTCTTTCTTTCTTTTTTTTTTTTTTTTTTTTTTTTTGAGATGGAATCTCACTCTGTCACCCAGGCTGGAGTGCAGTGGTGCAATCTCAACTCACTGCAAGTTCTACCTCCCAGGTTCAAGAGATTCCTCTGCCTCAGCCTCCTGAGTAGCTGGGGCTACAGGCGCGCACCACCATGCATGGCTCATTTCTTGGATTTTAGTAGAGACGGGGTTTCACCATGTTGGCCAGGATGGTCTCGAACTCCTGACCTCGTAATCTGCCCACCTCGGCCTCTGAGGTGCTGGGATTACAGGCATGAGCCACCGTGCCTGGCTTTCATTTTTTGAAGTAATATCTACTGAAGTATAATTTATAACACCTCTTTCTTTAGGGTAGAAATGTTATTCATCTAATTTTTCAATGAATTTGGTTCCCAACAATAGCGATTTTGCACTTGCTTAAATTTAATTGGCTTTATATATTTTTCTAACATTTTTTTTGGTTATGTCAGTGTTTCCCAACATATTTTTCCCTCCCACCAAAACAGAAAAACCTCAACACATTGTTGCTATGTTTATGTTTTTTCCTACAAAAATTAAATAGAAATGATTGGCGCTATCAACTGTACAGTATAGTCAACAATCCAGGACAAATTAATTTACACAGTGCCGTAGAGGAAGCAGAATCTATAAGGAAACAGGTTTCTGTTTTGAAGTTCCCAAAGAATATTATAAACAGAAGAGAAAAAGAAGTGAGCTCAGAAATGATTAACACCCATAGTCAGTGCCAAACACACAAAATCTTTTAAGCCAAATTCCTTTTAAAAGTTTGTAGTTGGCCAGCTTGTGGGGAACATAAATAAGGGCAAAGCAGTAATAGTTGATACTTTTAGATCTATAAATAAATACTTCATACATATATATTTAAAACCCTAAACATTTATGGGGTAATTTAAACACTGCTGTCTGATATGTTGTATGAATGGCCTTCATGTATGCATCATTGTTTAAAAATGCGGGGAAAATTCTTTGAACTGTAGTTTCATATGATGCCCTAGGAGTCAGAGATGGAGGTAATTGGTACATCTTGGAATCAGGGGCTTCTGTTTAGTTATTTAAATGGGTTACTGAGCACTTTCCTGCTTACTTCTTTCTACTATAAATAAGAAATGCATCATCAGGCACTTTTCTTGACATTGAATACTCCAATTTACTCCACACCAAAACTTTATCTGGTATTTGAAAAATAATTTCCAGTTTTAGAATGAGTCTCATTTTAAGGAGCCTATTTTTAAAAATCATTTGCTGATGCTGGCTAGGAAGCCTAGTTGGGATGATGAAAAATGGAAGTCTCAATGTGTCACTAAGTGTGTAACCTACAATTGGAACATGAAGGACTTAGACTTTGCCTGAACTCAGGGAGGGCACTGTTCTATTTTTGAAAAACCTGAGAGTAGCAAGTCACTTGAGTTTCCCTCTTATCTGGACTGGCTTCGTTATGGGAGGTTAATTTATACTTATGTTTGTAATGTCTTCTGAATTATTTCTACTCTGAAAGATTCAAAGGCAATAGAATGAGATTCACAGTGCCTCACTGAGCAAGGAAACGTCATAGCCATTTTACAGAAAGACAGCTGAGCAGAGGCAGTGTCCCGTTGAGGTGGAACTTGAATTTGGACCCACGAGAGTACTTCCTAGCCCTGTGGCACACAGTTCTCACTTAGCTTTCTTTTCTGTGAATTCAGCCACATGCACACAAGTCCCGCATTCTTCCCGCCATGGGAGCACTGGACTTAGCAATTATGTTTGAGTTTTATGGCTTTAGTCATCAAATGTCCTGTTTCAGCTGTGGTTTCTCTTTAGTGCATGGTCTAAAAAATTTAAAATACCAATATATAATGATAACTAATTGTTTTTGGTATAATAACTGTTTATATTTTTGAACCTGAGTTCTGAGTCTGGTGACCTTGCTCTGTTTGTTACTCTGAAGCAAAGTCCACATTTAGGCTAGGGTTTTACCTTATTTTAACCTTCTTCCTGTTTTTGTACTCAGGAACCTGCATGGTTCCTGGCACTCACCAGGTTTTCAGTAACAAAGTTTTTTTTTGTTTTTGAGACAGAGTCTCGCTCTATCACCAGGCTGGAGTGCAGTGGCGCGATCTCGGCTCACTGCAACCTCCACCTCCTGGGTTCAAGTGATTCTCCTGCCTCAGCCTCCTGAGTAGCTGGGACTACAGGCGCGTGCCACCATGCTCAGCTAATTTTTGTATTTTTAGTAGAGACGGGGTTTCACGATATTGGCCAGGCTGGTCTCGATCTCCTTACCTTGTGATCCGCCCACCTCGACCTCCCAAAGTGCTGGGATTATAGGCGTGAGCCACCGCGCCCAGCCCAGTAACAAAGTGTTTAATGAGGGAGTTGAATTGGTTGAAAAGAATCTGTTTATTCAAACTGTAATGCAGTCCACAAATTTGAAGTTTTCTCTTTAGATGTAAAAGTACCAAATATCCTAAAACACCATCCCAGCTCTCTCTTCATGCATGCTTTAATACTGGCCACCAAAGAGGAGTATAATTTAATGAATGGAACTTCTGAAGACACCCCTAAACAACTTTGGACCTCCTAAAGTGAAACTCTTTTCTGTAGAGTTAAAATATGTAGAATCCTTTCACCTTTAATTGATTGAAAATGATGGTGCCTGGAACTATTTTTGAGAATAATTTTGATCTAAAGGGAAAAAAATACATGTGTTTCTTCTGAGTGCTGCTTTTCCATTTTCCTAATGGGCTCTTCACTATTGTTTTGTCTGAATGCAGTTTTTTATTTGTGTTATTCCAGACATGGTCCTACCACAAGCATCTTTAAACCAGACATTAATAGCATAGTTCACAGTCATTACTGCCAGTGCTCAAACACAAATATTGCATTTGTGTTTGCGAAAGCTACACATCAGATGTTAATTAAGTGCATTTGGTTTTTTTCTGCTTAAACAATCTGGCATAAAGAGTTTACATCCATATCAGTTCACCATAAGGTCTCAACAATATCTAAATCACCAGCCATACAGTATATGATAAATACAGTGTTTCTACACAAGAAAATAACGGAATTGTCAGGAAAACATCAGGCCTGTTATATTTCTCTGTGAAATAATAGCAACTGAATCTCAGTTTCTTTTTCTTTTTGATAAAAAAGTATTTAGGAGTAAACACCAATATTTAGAATGATAAATTTTTCATTAAAGCACACATGGAAAGCGAAATCATACCAAAGATTTTTTTCCTTGTTTTTAGCTTGCTTCAGGGCGTTGTGACAGTTGTGTTGGAAGAAAATTGGAATTTCAGCCTTGCAGTGAGGGGATTCGTGCTGCCACCAGAGCAGCCGAGTGCCAATCTGCGGGAGGTGGGAGTGGAGCGAAACCGCAAACTGAGAAACAAACTTTCACATCAGGTTTCTAATTTTAGAGCAAAAAGTGGAATTACTTTAATTATATGACATTTAACTAGAAATACGATTTGCTGGGATTAATTATCTCTCTCATTTAAAATACCTTCTTAGTAGGTTTAAATTAACATAAAAAATCAAATTCAGCATTTAAATAAGGTCAATGGGACTGCTGGATTTAAACACAGAATCTGATTCAGTATAATTGGATCACCGTATTGGTTTTGACTTGGAAGGATTAAATGGAGGAAATTGGAAAAGCGTGAATTTGGGCAGAAAGAGAAATTTTCTCTTCTTTCTTTCTTTCTTCTTTCACCCTCTAAGAGAGAGAAGTTTCCCCACCTTGGGGAGGAAACTATTACCCTGATTAAGTCAGAAACATCTCAGATTTGTTAACTGTCTCTGTTTTTTCACTACTTGAATAAGAAATAGTAATAAAACAAAAATATTGTGTAACTAAGGCTTACTAGAAGAATTTAAAATATATATGACAAGGGTCCGTTTGAAAAATGATTATTCTGTGTTAAGTGATTACCTCTTATTTTATTTAAAAGCATATGAAAGTTATTTCTGATGTTTTATTTTGCTAGAAAAAAATGAACTTTATGCTTTTGAAGGAATTTTAAAAATAAGAGTTTCATTTTAGTCAAGTAAGTCGGTGTTGGGACACTGAACAGCATACATTGCTTTATTGAACTCTTGTCCTTAGGGCTTACATCTAAACTTACTTTGTCTTTAATAATTTATCTTAGGCAATGAGTTCATTTATAGCAAGAATGATCAACTTTGGAAATTCTACTAACAAGGGGAAGTTATTAGACATGTGATGGTAGAGGATGTCTTGGAATTTGCTGGGTGAGGGATTCAGGAAAAGTCCCAGGGCCACAGGGATGGAATGACCCATGTCGTGGGGAGAGCCCCAGGTCCATAAGCAGGAACTTCTTTGAAAGTGACTTGCTCCCCAAGGCTGATGAATTGCATGTGAATATCTGAATGTGACTGGGCATCTCAAAGGTATGGGACAGCAAAGTGTAATGGTGAAGCACTACAGGCCTGGTAAGGATTTTGAATAGTTGTGCTGATGTAACCCTCAGTGTTATATACTCTTCAGCAAAACCTGAATGTGATCCAACTATTTGTTGGAACGATGGTAAAGTTATTACCATTCCTTGAGTCAAAATAGGATATGTACACTAGATTTGAGGACATAAGACTATTTGTAACATTACTTGTTGGGGGGTAGATGAGAGAAAAATGTTTGGATGTTTTCTGTTAATAGTGGCAACATTAACATTAACAAAAATTCCAGTTATACTCTGTGCAATGTTAAAACTGATATAGTTCTTAAAGATATTTAGGGTAAGTGATTTGGACATGAGATGATGAGAGAGATGTATTGACTGTTAGGAAATTTAATTTTTATGAAATCAGCATTATGGGGAAATACTGTAATCTGATTCATTCCTGCAGAATTCCCAGGAGGAAGAGGCCCAGCCTCGGGAGTTGAAATGTTTCATTATGTACATGTGTGGGAAAAGGATGAAATGTGGTTTCCGTGTGCTGATTTTCTGTAAAACATCTATTAGTATGAGAGTAGCCAGGCTAGGCAACAGAGCCCCCAAACCATCAAGTCTAGGGAAAAGTGAACCGAGAAGGCACTTCTCTGATGGATACTGACATCAGGAGCAATAAGTTTGAAAGTAGCAAGAAAAAGGAATGACAGTAAAATAATGTTGAAATAGTAACTAAGAAATGATCACATGTTGAAGATGAGGTCAGCCCTTTATCCCTCATCAATCCCTGCTTAACTTTGCTTTTAGAAATGTAAGGTTCCCCAAAAATGAGAAAACTGCAAATGTAAGCTTTTTATACCAATGCTAATTTAACCAAGTTGTCCATCTTATCGTGTAAACTATAATTAGAGCCACACTATTTATGTAACGTGAGCCGCACCATCCCTGAGACAGGGAAAAGCGGGACATTTGCCCCTGAACTCTAGAGTAACAGGGCTCTAGAGTGGCAATGGCCATCTCAGTCTCTTGTGAAGCTGGGGATAAAAGAAAGAGGTGCCTCCAACAGGTTGTACAAAGAGAAAGGCACGAGGTTTATAAGTCTGTGTGAGGGGATTCTTGTGTTTTGTTTGGCTCCAAACCCTGCCAAACTCACATCATCACAAAACACGTGAGTCCCTTTGCTCTTCCCAGTTTCAAGGCTGTTTGTTAGTTTTTAGTGACTTCTTTCCCTAGTTAAGACTGGTTTTGAGATTCATTTTAATCTGATATTAACCGAATTCAGTAATGACAAGTGTTTGTTTCAGGGAGAGGGAGTGGTGGGCACAGAGGTGTGAATTACTCCTGTCTCTGAGACTCTTAGGCCTGTCATTGAACTCCAAACCCCATGGAGATGGCCTTGGAAATGAAGGAAGTTCCAAGGCCTGTCGCTGCTGATGGACTTAGCTCTTAACTGTGCTTTTCTTTCTCTGTTGGTATTTTGGAAAGTTTGAGCTCTTTTAGGAAAAAAAAATCCTTCAGATACTTTTATAGTAGATAAAGTTACCTGATTATATCCTAAATACTTTCATTATGGAAAAAAAATATTATCTTCAGAAAATTCTGGAGTTGACAATGAGGAATATTTGTACTGTTTTTAAATAAAACCGAGTAAAGGAAACGCCTCTGATTAAAACTGGCTGACGAATAGAATCTTCAAAACGAGGCTTTTGTTCTGCCTGATTAACATGCTTTTCTAATGATTTAGGTGTTGGTGCCAGCCCGTATGTGATGAACTGCAACATTACCATAGATTCTCAAGACATGTCTGCAGGAAGAGAGATCGCTAGTGCCATTCGGGGCTCAAATGCAAATGGATTGAAGGGTGTCCGAGCGATGGCTTTTCCCCACGAGGGAAAAATTGAAATAGCCTGCAACGTGGAGAGTTTTGATGACCAAGAAGCTGCAGAAATCTCAGAAGACTTCCAATGTGTGTCTTACAGTGTCCTTGGTGATCAGTTTTCTTACGTGTCTCCTCATTACATAGAAGCTCAAGTTAAAAAGTTGGCAAGTGATTGGGGAATTGGTACTAAAGGGAGAGCATTAGTTGGATTTACACCCCAAGAGTGCAAGAACTGTGCTGAATATGCTATAAAGGAAAATATTGGGGAATTCTGGAAGATTCGGGGAGGTGTTTTCATGTGATCCAATCTAAGGCCTCACTGAAATTTTAAGGAAAATTATTAGTCGTTACAAAATTTTCTTTTGAGCAGTGAAGATGTGGAGAAACTACAAAGGGCTTAGTTGCAGCCATGTATTGGAAAATTGAAAGCATTCTTTGTTCAACAACAAGTGTTCATAGATTATTCTTAATTACCTTGTATTTCTAGTCATTGTTACAATTTCGAGAGAATCTACTTTGTATCATGTGCTAGTAATTTGTAAGCATTAGAAGCTCTTCTGAATCAACTGAGTAAAATGGCCATGGTTTCTGAACCATCTTTCATTATTATAAGAAAAAAAGATAAAATGGACTTGATTGGATTTTCCTGAATGAACTCTCAAGTTCCATATTCAACTCTCATGTTTTGAGTAATTACTACTTTATTTATTTATTTTTTTGAGACAGGGTCTCACTCTGTCACCCAGGCTCATGGATCATTGCAGCCTCTCCCTCCTGGGCTTAGGCAGCCCTCCCACCTCAGCTTCCCAAGTAGAGGGGACTACAGGCACCAGCCACCACACCGAGCTCATTTTTGTATTTTTTGTAGAGACAGAATCTGATTGTGTTGCTCAAGCTAATCTCAAACTCCTGGCTAATTATTCTTTTAATATGTACATTTTAAAAAATCAAGACTGGGTACAGTGGTTCATGCCTGTAATCCCAACACTTTGGGAGGCCAAGGCGGGTGAATCACTTGAGCCTAGCAGTTTGAGACCAAACTCAAACTGGGCAACGTGACAAAACCACATCTTTACAAAAACTACAAAAATTAGCCAGGCATGGCAGTGCACACCTGTAGTAGCTACTTGGAAGGCTAAGGTGGGAGGATGACCTGAGCACAGGAGGTCGAGGCAAGATCATGCAGTGAGCCATGATTGTGCTACTGCACTCCAGCCTAGGCAACAGAATGGGACCCTGTCTCACAAATATAATCTCCCTTTCAAAGCATGATGGTTCATTCTTGCCTTACTACTTTTAGGATGCTCTGCTGTTCATAAACCAGATATAGAATTTTGAAATGTTTATATAGGGAGATGGCATGATGGTGTTGGGCATGACTTCAAGGAAGTACTTATTCTTTTGGAATTTAGATGGAAAGTCTAAAGGTTTAGAGAACATATTGTTTTTGAGCAAAGAGAAGGGTATTGGCAGAAGAAATTTTTTTTGAAAGAAATTAAAATTTGTAGCTTTTTTGTGAACTAAAAGAAGCTATTTGTCAATGATGGCAATTTTAAGTAAATCCTTAGTATTTATATTGTTCTAGTATCAGATGCTTCCCATAAAGCACAGAGAAATGAATTTTTCCACAAATTGAGTTTAGCAAGAAAGACTGTGATCTTCTTTAATAAAAGCAGAAAGTGTGAATTTATTTTAAGGAATTAAAAATAAAGAGGTTGGCTAGGTGTGGTGGCTCATGCCTATAATCCCAGCACTTTGGGAGGCCGAGGTAGGAGGATCACTTGAACCCAGGAGTTTGAGACCAGCTTGGTCAATGTAGTGAGACTATCTCTATTAGAAAAAAAAGTTTAAAAAAAAGTTGAACTCAGTCTTTTTATAGGATCCAGTGATCTAATTTTTTTTTCTTTTTTACTTACATTTGATTCTTGAATCTGATTGCATTTATATCATTCTGGAATTCCAATTCTGTGTGTGTTTTCTCTGTCAATATGATTACAACGAAGATGGAAAAGATGATGGACTAGGTATGGTTTTTAGACGTGAGGGATTTTAGTTGCTCTGGTGAAGAGACAAAATGCTGTCTAGCTAGACCTGATAGGTCTGTCTCTCAGTCTCTGAGAGCTGAGAAGCAGCAGTGCCCAGATCTTGCCTTGCTTTGGCAGAGGCTGTGTGGCCCGATAGAAAGAACAGTAGACAGTGGATTGGAGGGCTTGAGTTCAGTCCTTGCTGTTATTTTTCATGTAGCCATAATTTCATTAGCTACGAAATAGGAAAAATAATTCCCACCCCGACTAGGGGAATAAATGTCTATAAGCTGTAATGTAAAAATGAAATGTATTATTAACAGTTTTTCTAGATCTATTCTAGAGCTTTGCTTTAGTTTTGAGCATCAGTATTAAACAGATGAGAGGGGTTAAAAGCCCATGGTGCCGCTGATTCATATTGGGTTGTAGGAGGGGTTGATTCATTTGCCAGTTACCTGAATTAACCTCTCCAGGTTCCTGTCACAGCATTAAAGGCTGCTGGCTTTGAGCAAGGCCTATTGAAAACCAAACGTGCTTTCAATGGGTACAGCGTGTCAGTTTGGGAAGATGAAAAATGTTCTGGAGATGGATGATGGTGCTTGGTTGCACAACAGTGTGAATGTACTTAATTCCACTGAATTATACACTTAAACATGACTAAAGTGGTCAATTGTGTGTTCTGCACATTGTGTTTTATAATTAAAAAACAAAAAGTATGTATTTATCCCACAAAAGTTAAGAAAAAAATTAAAAAATCACCTCGTATCTGAATAAGATAACTTTACTAAGTCTATTGTATTAGTCCATTCTCGTATTGCTATAAAGAAATACCTGAGACTGGGTAATTTATAAAGAAAAGAGAGGTAATTGGCTCATGGTTCTGCAGGCTGTACAGGAACAATGATGCTGACATCTGCTTGACTTCTGGGGAGGCCTCAGGAAGCTTACAGTCATGGTGGAAGGGGAAGGGGGAGCAGTTATGTCACATGGCCAGAGAAGGAGCAAGAGAGCTGGTGGGGAGGTGCTACATACTTTAAACGACCAGATCTCATGAGAACTCACTCACTATCATGAGGAGAGTACCAAGAGGATGGTACTAAACCATTCATGAGACATGCGCCCCCAATGATTCAATCACCTTTCACCAGGCCCACCTCCAACACTGGGTATTATGATTAAACATGAGATTTGGGTGGAGACACTGATCCAAACCAGATCATCCATATGTTCTAAATAAAATGTTGGCAAATTTCTAATATCTATTAATAGATACAACTATGCAGGACCTATTTTTCCCTTTTAAAATCTATTATGATGGACTGTAGTGCTCCAGATGAGGTTTAGTTAATGGTTTAAAATAAAGTTGAGTAAATGTGGCCTTTGATCCAGTTATCCATTAAAAAACAAAAATTTACTATTTTTATTATAAATAAATAATTTTCTTTTTCTGAGATAGAACCTCATTCTGTCACCCAGGTTGGAGTGCAGTGGCACAATCTTGGCTCACTTCAACCTCCACCTCCCAGGTTCAAGGGATTCTCCTGCCTCAGCCTCCTGAGTAGCTGGGATTACAGGTGGGCATCATCACACTCAGCTATTTTTTTTTTTCAGTAGAAATAGGGTTTCACCATCTTGCCCAGGCTGGTCTTGAACCCCTGAGCTCAGGTGATCTGCCGACCTCAGGCTCCCAAAGTGCTGGGATTACCGGTGTAAGCCACCACGCCTGGCCAATAATTTTTAAAACAAGCACAGACACACCTCTTACGTCTCATTCATATTTGAATTTGTCTTTTCTTTCTCTGTTTCCCTTCTGCCTTTTAGAAAATCTGAACCAACTGTAAATTGCTGAAAGTGTTCTGGTGGATGGGTAGAGTATCACCAGCTCTTCCTCTGCAGGAACTGGCAGAAGTCACTGGGATGCGTCTATGATCACTAAGAAGGACGATCCCATTGACTTGAGAAAACCTGACAAAATGAACTAACAAATACCTCGACTCATATGCAGCTTTTCTCGGATTGGCCTCTTAGAAGCAGCCCCACAGTTTGTGCCAATGTTTCATCAGTATTTGATTTTTAAATCTTACTACAAGGTGGACATTGTATGGAATATGTGCTTCATAGCTCGTATTTACCCTCCCTCCTTTTACCAACTGTGAAGAGGCCAAAATTGATGTGAACAAATAGACTTTACTTTCTATCAACCCCTTTGGTTTTTATTCTACCCAGCTTTAAACTTTAACTTTTAGTTTCTTAAACGAGGGATAAGGAAAGCAACAAGCTAGGCTATGAGGTGATAAGGTTTTGTGTGTGGGGTGCGGGGGAGAGGGGGAGTTGTCGTTGGTTTCCAGCCTAAATTGGGACTTAACTCATGATAAATTAAAACTATTTAAACACTGGGAGAGGGGAGTAAGTAAAATATAACTGAAATAAAACAAAAGGGGGGTAATATTTTCATTTCTTGACATAATGAAAAGCCTTGCTCTGTAATTGGTTTGTACTGTCTTGGAAGTGGCGTCCGTGGTCAACAAAGGACCACTCTGTGAGAGATCTGCAAGGAATTTATCATCCCCCCTGGCTGAGCCAAAGCAGGTTTGATATACAGTTTTGTTTCATATAAATATTCTCATGTTACTGTTTACTCTGTGGGAATATGAGGATCTCACTGACAGGGTACGTGCTCCACTGCCTTGCTTTTAAAGGCATTTATTTGACTCTGTTGTTTGTACTTGCCCAGAAACTTCAGAGAATAGCCCAGGAACTTGTTTGATAAGCATCCAGACCATGCTCCCGGAGTATGTTGTGCTTGGGGGCTTAGGAAAGCTTATTGTTTTAAGCGAGCCTGCACATGGCCTCCAAGGAGCCCATTTTTCATAGATAAAACAATTGGGACACCCTCAGCCATGTCTTAGAATGCTTCTCCAATGTGTAATAAAATGTCCTGGTGAGCAGGGCTCTGGTTGAACTCAGACTGCCTTTGGATAACTCTGCCACTTCTTTTGTTCCTATTTGCAGTGTTGTGAGGCAAATTAATGTATTGTGAATTAAGATGTGAGATACAGACCTAAACATGGGACTAATTTCTTTTTACATTTTTAGTGTGGGTGTTAACCTATTATCCGTCACCCTTCCATATACTTTTTTTTTTTCTTCTTAAGACAAGGTCTTGCTTTGTTACTCAGGCTGGAGTGCAGTGGCATGATCATGGCTCTCCACAGCCTTGACGTCCCAGGTTGAAGTGATCCTCTCATCTCAGCCACCCAAGTAGCTGGGACTACAGGTGCACACCACTGCACCTGGCTAATTATTTTTTATTTTATTTTATTTTATTTTATTTTTTGAGATGCAGTCTCACTCTGTCACCCAGGATGGAGTGCAGCAGCATGATCTCAGCCTGCTGCAACCTTCGTCTCTTGGGTTCAAGCGATTCTCCTGCCTCAGCCTCTGGAGTAACTGGGATTACAGGTGCATGCCGCCATACCTGGCTAATTTTTTGTATTTTTAGTAGAGAGTAGGTTTCACCATGTTGGTCAGGCTGGTCTCGAACTCCTGACCTCAAGTGATCTGCCCGCCTCGGCCTCCCAAAGTGCTGGCATTACAGGTATGAGCCACTGCGCCCAGCCAATTTTTTTTATTTTTTATTTTTATGTTTAGTAGACACGGGGCCTTGCTATGTTGCCCAGGCTGGTCTTCAACTGAGCTCAAGCAGTCCTCCCGCCTTGGCCTCCCAAAGTTCTGGGATTACAGGCATCAGTCACTGCACCTGGCCCTATACTCTACTTTCTGATACTGGGAC